GAGAGAGAGAGAGAGAGAGAGAGAGAGAGAGAGAGAGAGAGAGAGAGATGGGATTCTCCTCTGTATGCTATGAATATGTTTTATTACCATTGGTTAATAAGGAAGCTGCTTTGGACTATGGCAGGGCAGAATATACCTAGGCGGGAAAACTAAACTGAATGCAGGGAGAAAGAAGATGGAGTCAGTCAGATGCCATGTAACTGCTGAAGGAGAAAGATGCCAGAACATTACAGGTAAGCCACAACCTTGTGGCGATACATAGATTAATCAAAATGGGGTAATTTACAGTGTAAGAGCTAGCTAAGAATATGCCTGTGCCATTGGCCAAACAGTGTTGTAATTAATATAGTTTCTGTGTGATTATTCAAATCTAGGCGGTGGGAAAGTGAAAGTGCAGTCTCCATTTACAGTGTGTGTATGTATGTGAGTGTAGATCAAAGAACACAAAATTCATTTCTCTTCTTCCACTATGTAGGTCCCAGGGATTGAACTCATGTCGTCAAGTTTGACAGTAAGCTCAGCCATCTCAGTGGCTCAAGAACAAATTTTATTGAAAGTCCATTGTAGCTTTTTCCCAGAACTGAGCATCTCAGATAATGCTGGCAAAATAATCGCTTGGGAGAAAAAGAGAAAAATAAGAAATCATTTTAAAGCCTGCTGTGGCAGCATGTGTCTCCAATCCCAACATTCAGTAGATGAAAGAAGAATAATGAGAAGTTCAAAATCATCCTTGCTTACATAGTGAGTGTGAGGCTACATGAGGGTATGTCTTAGTTTTTTTTTTTTTAAAGATTTATTTACTTATTATGTATACAGTATTCTGCCTGCATACATGCCTACATGCCAGAAGAGGGCACCAGATCTCTGTACACCACCTGTGTACCTTGTGCCCAGCAAAGATGTCAGATCTGGTACTGAAATTACAGATTGGTTGTGAGCCACCATGTGGGTGCTGAGAATTGAATTCAGGTCCTCTGGAAGAACAGCCAGTGCTCCAGCCCTTATTTTCTATTTTTTCTTTGTGTGTCTGTGTGTCTGCAGGCCACATGTGGCTGTGGGCCTGTAGAGGTCAGAAGAGGATAGCCAAGCCTCTGGATGCCTACACAGTCCCCTGATGTGGGTGCTGAGAACTCAGGTGCTCTGGAAGAGCAGGAAACCTTTTAACCCCTCCCTCCCCCTTTAAAGAGTCACTTCAATAGCTAATTAACTGATGAAGTACCAGAGCCAATGGAATGTATTATGTTAAGAATTTTGAGTTTGGGGGCTGGAGATAGGGCTCAGTGGTTAAGAGCATTGCCTGCTCTTCCAAAGGTCCTGAGTTCAATTCCCAGCAACCACATGGTGGCTCACAACCATCTGTAATGGGGTTTGCTGCCCTCTTCTGGCCTGCAGGCATACACACAGACAGAACATTGTATACATAATAAATAAATATCTTTAAAAAAAGAATTTTGAGTTTGGAGTCACTGGTCTCTGCTTCCTGATTGTGGATGCAATGTGGCCAGATCTTTCCTGCCTTTTCTGCATGATAGATCATGTCTCCTGGAACTGTGAGCCAAGATAAACCTTTAAAAAGGGTATTTTGAAATGCTGGAGAGATTTCTCAGTGGTTAAAAACCACCAGTTATTCTTCCAGAGGACCCGAATTCAATTCCCAGCACCCACATGGTGGCTCACAACCATCTATAATTTCAGTACCAGATCTGACATCTTTGCTGGGCACAAGGTACACAGGGGGTGTACAAACATATATGCAGGCAAAACATCCATACACATAAAATGAATATACTTTGGAGTTTTTCCTACAATCAATGGGAAGATATTGGAAGATTTAAGACAGTGAAGCAATAATATTTTTGAATATTTTTAATTACTTTTAATAAGTGTCATATATATTTTTGGGAATTTTTCCTAACACGAGCTCTCTGCCAATGCAAAATCCTAATCAAGCCAAATCAAAACAAGCCAAATTAAGATATATCCAGGTTTGGGCTGGAGAGATGGCTCAGAGCTAAAGAACATTGCCTGCTCTTCCAAAGGTCCTGAGTTCAATTCCCAGCACCACATGGTGGCTCACAACCATCTGTAATGAGGTCTGGTGCAGGCATACACACAGACAGAATATTGTATACATAATAAATAAATACATATTTTCTTTTTAAAAAAGAAATATCCAGGTTTAATGGGAGTTCTGCACTCTTGGGTGGCCCCAAGGGGGAACCAGGAGGCCATGAACACAACCAGCAGGAGGAAGAAAAATAAACCAAGTGTTCCTCTTTTGGGAGTTCATTTAAATACTGTAGGAGTGGTCCTGACCCTCCCCCCCCCACCAGGGAGGGGTCAGGACCTGACCTGCTGGGATTTGGAGTCCAGACCAATATAACTCTCAGGGTCAGGACCTGGTCTGCTGGGATTTGGAGCCCAGACCAATATAACTCTCAGGCTTGGGGGCTGGGATAGATGCGAGGTGCCTGGGCCTATGCTCCCAACTTAGCATTCCAGACTCTTTAGATATAGGGATGACAGGACATTGAAGTGATAATTATGACAAACATTTAGGCTCTCTTTGGGAAAAAAGGAGATAGACTCAAATCTGGATACTTCCTGCAGGCATGGGGCAATGTGGGGAAGGTGAGAGCAAGGTGTCCATGTTCAGCGAGAGGTGTGGCTGGAGAGGCATCCCATGAACTGTCATCCCAGAGAAGGCAGGAATCTGTTCCTTGGGGGAGGTGAGAAGGCAGGTGTCTAGGGAAAAAAAAACTGTTATCACCAAAGATGAGTGCGCCAGAATGAGGAGCAGGTAGGCCCTTTATTGTGGCATCCTGGAAAACTGGAGGGTGGAAGGTCCTGTCTGCTGGACAGACCACGTGTCTTGAGTACGCACCCGCTTGAGCCTGGAGAGATGGTACCAACATGGGTGTCCCAAGAGCTTGGCAGCCAAGGGGGTGGTGAGGATTAGTGTGTGAGGTCCTGTCCATTGAGGTTCGAGAGACCTGAGTTCAATAGAGAGTCTGGTTAGTTGTTGTTGATGGAGCTGCGGGCTGCGTTCCTGCCGCCCAGCTACTGGCCACCTGGCTAGCTTATGCCCTGAAATAACAACACACAAACTGTATTCATATAAACACTGCTTGGCCCATTAGTTCTAGCCTCTTAATGGCTAATTCTCACAATCTTGCCTAGCCCATATTTAGTAATCTGTGTAGCACCAGTCTTACAGGGAAAGATTCAGCATGTCTGACCCGGCAGCTTGCTTCATCACGTCTGCCCTAGAGAGGAGACACATAGTGTCTGAGCTCACTTCCTCTTCCCCCCAGCATTCTGTTCTGTTTACTCCACCCACCTATGTTCTAACCTATCAGGCCAAGCAGTTTCTTTATTAATTAACCAATGACCTTCCTTCATCAAGTTGTTGTTTAATGAGTTAGTCCATCCTTGTCCGTCTGGATGGTTCATGGGAAACCAAACCAAAGAATGATGTGGTCCAGGAGTACCTGAGCCACTACATCTGCTGTTTCCCTGGAGAACGGAAATGCTTATATCTATCTTGTAAAAGTGTCCACAAGTGTTAAGAGATAACGGAGTTTTTTATGAGTAGGCATATAAGTGAAATTAACCTTCCAATCTTCGCCTGGTTGGTGTCCATGAAGCTGGTGTTTGTGGAGAGCCCCTTGTGGGTTGGCCCAGGCACACGTCTGGCAGAACTGAACCTGTAAAATATGATCTCAGGGATGGGTGGGGTAAAAAAGGGGCTCCAAGAAGCAGAACAAAGCTTTGGGGAAGCTGCTAAGGATATCTCCACCCAGTAAAGGTGCTGGGCAAACACCTAAGAAAGAATGAGAGAAAAATTGTCCTGCAGGAATGCAGGGCAGTGGCAAAGTTTTAAGTGGGGAGGAACAGGTACCATCTACCCTAACTGAAATTGGTGAGGGGAACATAAGCCCCAAGTGAGAATAAAAGTAATGGATTTACCTACTACCTGCAGCTTTACCTTAGGCTTGGATAGAGTTACAGGATAAACCAACCAAGGCTGAGAAGCTCGAGGGCTGGCTGGCACAGTTTCACTTGCTGATGGTGATGCTGGACCTCTGTGGTGTGGCATAGAGGACAAACCTGCATGGGGGCATTGTGGTTTCCAGTGTCCAGGTTGCTGGCAGATAAGGCATAACCTCGGAGGAGGCATAGTGCAATATCATGCCATGTGACCACTTAGGCCACACTTGAAACAGTTTGTCTGTGAGGTTGACTTAGGCTGGGCTCTATCAGGGTAGAGCCTTGTGTTTGGCTTCCCTTGTCCCCCGTCCTGTGACCTTAGGGCAGCTGCTAAGGCCTGGGCCTGTAGATTGTTGTAGCTTTGTCTGTCAGGAAGACTCAGTTTCGTGAGCATTAAAAACTTTAAAGGCGCCGGGCGGTGGTGGCGCACGCCTTTAATCCCAGCACTTGGGAGGCAGAGGCAGGCGGATCTCTGTGAGTTCGAGGCCAGCCTGGTCTACAAGAGCTAGTTCCAGGACAGGCTCAAAAGCTACAGAGAAACCCTGTCTCAAAAAACAAAAAAAAAAAAAAACCAAACCAAAACAAACAAACAAACAAAAAAACACTTTAAAGCCCATTTTCACCAATTCCCATATAGGGGTTTGGGGACTCTCCTCAACCTTTCTTAACTCTTTCCTAGTATCTGGTGCAGAAAGACTCAGCTGATTTCTCTCGGGCATTAAAAACTTTAAAGGCCATTTTCACCAATTTTTGTATAAGAGTTTGGGGTTTGGGGACCCTCCTCAACCTTTCTTAACTCTTTTCTAATATCTGGTACTGATTAAGAGATAAAATGGGTAAGCAAAAGGGTTAGTAGAAAAGGAATCTAGCTGCTTTTTTATCTGAGAGAGATCTGTAAGAGAAAAGGGAACATAGTTGAGCACATGTCCTTGTAGCATGATTTAACATATATACCCAAAAGTGGTATTACTGGGTCTTGTTTCCTAATTTTCTGAGAAATTGCCACACTGACATCCAAAGGGGTTGCACCAGCTTGCATTCCCACCAGCAATGCAGAAGTGTTTCCTTTTCCCCACAACCTCTCCAGCATAAGTTGCCATCAGTGTTTTTGATCTTGGCCATTCTTACAGGTGTAAGATGGAATCTCAGAGTTGTTTTGATTTGCATTTCTCTGATGACTAAGGATGTTGAACATTTCCTTAAGTGTCTTTCAGCCATTTTAGATTCCTCTGTTGAGAGTTTTCTGTTTAGGTCTGTACTCCATTTTATTTATTTATTTATTTATTTATTTATTTATTTATTTATTTATTAAAGATTTCTGCCTCCTCTCCTCCACAGCCTCCCATATCCCTCCCCCTCCCACAATCAAGTCCCCTCCCTCATCAGCCCAAAGAGCAGTCCGGGTTCCCTGCCTTGTGGGAAGTCCAAGGACCTCCCACCTCCTTCCAAAACACTATCCTGAGTGAGGTAAGCCAGACCCAAAAAGAGGAACATGGGATATACTCACTCATATTTGGTTTGTACTCCATTTTTTATTGGATTATTTAGTCTTTTGATGACCAATTTCTTGAGTTCTTTGCATATTTTGGAGATCAGACCTCTGTCTGATGTGGGGTTAGTGAAGATCTTTTCCCATTCTGTAGGCTGTCGTTTTGTCTTGTTGACCATGTCCTTTGCCTTACAGAATCTTCTCAGTTTCAGGAGGTCCCATTTATTAATTGTTTCTCTCAGTGTCTGTTCTGCTGGGGTTATATTTAGGAAGTGGTTCCCTGTGCTAATGTGTTCAAGTGTACTTCCCACTTTCTCTTCTGTAAGGTTCAGTGTGGCTGGCTTTACCTTGAGGTCTTTGATCCATTTGGACTTGAGTTTTGTGCATGGTGATAGATATGGGCCTATTTCCATTCTTCTACATGTTGATATCCAGTTATGCAGGCACCATTTGTTAAATATGCTTTCTTGGCTTTGTGGGAGCCTAGGCAGTTTGGATGCTCACCCTACTAGACCTGGATGGAGGTGGGTGGTCCTTGGACTTCCCACAGGGCAGGGAACCCTGATAGCTCTTTGAGCTGATGAGGGAGGGGGACTTGATTGGGGGAGGGAAATGGGAGGCGGTGGCGGGGAAGAGACAGAAATCTTAAATAAATAAATAAATAAATAAATAAATAAAATGCTTTCTTTTTCTCATTTGATATTTTTTGCTTCTTTGTCAAAAATCAGGTGTTTGAGGATGTGTGGATTGATATCTGTGTCTTCCATACGATTCCATTTGTCCTCCTGTCTGTTCTTATGCCAATACCAGGCTGTTTTCAGTACTGTAGTTATAGTAGAGTTTGAAGTCAGGGATTGTGATGCCTCTAGAAGTTCCTTTATTGTACAGGATTGTTTTTGGCTATTCTGGGTTTTTTGCTTTTCCATATGAAGTTGAGTACTGTTCTTTCGAGGTCTTTTAAAAATTTTGCTGGGATTTTGATGAGCATTGCATTGAATCTGTAGAGTGCTTTTGGTAAGATTGCCATTTTTACTATGTTAATTCTACCTACCCAAGAGCATGGGAGATCTTTCCATTTTTTTGGTGTCTCCTCAATTTCTTTCTTCAAAGATTTATAGTTCTTGTCATACAAGTCTTCCACTTTGGTTAGAGTTACTTCAAGATATTTTATGCTATTTGTGGCTATTGTGAAGAGTGATGTTTCTCTGATTTCTTTCCCAGTCCTTTTATCATATGTGTAGAGGAGGGCTACTGATTTTTTTTAGTTAATCTTGTATCTTGCTAAATTACTGAAAGTATTTATGAGTTGTAGAAGTTCCTTGGCAGAATTTTTGGTGTTGCTTGTGTAGACTATCATATCATCAGCAAATAATGAGAGTTTGACTTCTTCTTTTCTGGTTTGTATCTCCTTGATCTCCTTTTGTTGTCTTATTGCTATAGCTAGAACCTCAGGTACTATATTGAATAGACATGGAGAGAGTGGACAACCTTGTCTTGTTCCTGATTTCAGCGTGATCCTTGTGAGTTTCTCTCCATTTAGTTTGATGTTGGCTGTTGGCTTGCTGTATATTGCCTTTACTATCTTTCGGTATGTTCCTTGTATTCCTGCTCTCTCCAAGACCTTTATCATGAAGGGATGTTGTATTTTGTCTAAAGCTTTCTCGGCATCTAATGAGATGATCATGTGGTTTTTATTTTTCAGTTTGTTTATATGGTGGATTACATTGACAGATTAGAAAGATCACTTTAACAGCAGTGCATACACTGGGTTGGAGAAAAAGAAAATAGTAGTAAGGATATTTCACTAGTTGGGAGAAGAGACAACAGGGAAGACTTAAGGTAGAAGTGCAGATGAAGAAGAGGGGCAATACTAGAAACAGAGAGAAGCTTTGGGAGAGAAATTTGGAGTGAGGTAGAATGGTGGGTAGTAAGGGAAAGGAGTAGGATCTGGAAAGTAATTCCAGCCACTCCTGAAGCTGAAGCAGGAAGGTTGCATGTTCGAGGTCAGCCTGAGCAATGTACCAAGACCCTGTTTCAAAATAAAAAATTTAAAAGGGGTGGTGGATGTAACTCAGTAATAAAACACTCGCCTTGCATGAACACAGCCCTGGGTTCAATCCCTACTGCTGTAAAAAAAAAAAAAAAGCAGTGGAGGAAGAGGTAAATTGGGGACTAATGTGCCAGTGGAAGTGGAAACAACATGGCCAGAAAGGAGACAGTGTTACTTATCAAGTTGAATGGGCCTCATGGAGTTCGACATTTGGAGACCCTCAGTTCCCAGACTGAGTAACCCCCTGAAGTTATTTAGTGCCTCCTACAAGTTCAGAAATAATTAAAGGGTAACTCACAATAGTCTATAAAATATTAACAGAAAAAAATGAACAAACAAGCCAAGAACAAAAAAAAAAAAAAAGGTGAACTATCGATCATTTGTTGTTTTGTTTTGAGACAAGATTTCATATGACCCAAGCTGGCCAAGGTAAATCTTGAATTCCTAATCCACCTGCCCGGTTTGCTGAAGTGTTCAGGTTACAGGCCAACACTACCACACCCGGATTATTTGACTTTTCGCATCTTATTTTGGTAAAGAAAGGAAGAAAGAATAAAAAAAGAAAGTAAAGAAACTGTTGTTACCATGCATGAGACCCTGGGTTTGGGTCTCTGCAATGCACAGAAAGTTTTAGAGTGTTTCAGATCCTCTAATTTTGCATTAGGTATGTTCAACCTGTATCATGCTGTCTTTAGAAGGCTGTATCCAAGGTATCTTGCCTCAGGGACTCAGCAGTTATTTGTTAGGCTGTGATTTAGCCCTGTGGTTATGGTTTTTCAAGCTTTAGACTACTTACTACATAATGTGACTGGCCTGATTTAGTAATGCAGTATCGTTCCAATTTAATCTAACATGACCTAGCATTGCTAGACATAGTTGGTTGCTACAAAGCAAAGATTATCAACACTGCCTAATTATCCTCTGAACAGCGATTCTTTGCCATCCTTGTGTACAAGGACACACCGTATCTTTCCGGGCTAATTTCTATTTCCATGTACTTTCTGATTTTTCCTTCCCTCAGGCAGGTCTTATGAACATTTGCTTCTCTTCAAAGCTGCTAACACTGGGGCTCTTCTTCCCATTGATTATGATCACCAGTCGGTGGTTCTTAGTATTTTAGTCCCATCCATTTCCCTTTTTTATTTTTTTGTTGTTGTTTTTTGAG